TTTAAGTCTTTGTCAATCAAGCCTTTCAATAATTGCCTGGATCTGAAGCTCGTCGGCAAGCATGAAGATACTGCTGTGATGTAGTAGATGGATTATTTATGGCATGTGGAGAGGGACAGAAGTCAAAAGTAAAGAAAGAGAATTCTGACTTTAATCTCAGAATTCTGAATTTTTTCTCTTAATTCTAAGATTAAAGTAAGAATTCAGAAATTAAAGTCAGAATTATCTTTCTTTGCTTTTTTCTTTTCAGTGGTCCTAATCCTCGTCCGCACTAAACAAAACAAAAGAACAATGAAAAAAACTTTATCTGTTGAAAGCTGCTACAGCGAGTCTGCAAACAAGCTAGGTTTTGAACAATGTTATTGGTGGAGGTTTTTAGACAAATGCGAGCGAACAACTCTATTAATTTTTTTCATTTTTTAAATCTCCACAACAAATTTCTAGCCGTACTTTGTTAGAACGTTGTTATGAGGCATGAAAAACGTGTTTTAGGCTAACTTCCTTTCCAAATTTGCTATTGCAGCTTTAAGTCCAATTTTTAGCATGTTGTTTTTGTTTTCTCTAGCTGTTTAAAGAGACCTTTTTGTCTACTAAGAAGCTTAAACAAACTTGGTTTTTCTGTTAGGAACAGCTCGTTTTTCTTTTAAAACCAGCAAATTGCAGCCTCCTTACTTGACTGTGATGATACTTTATACATACATGCTTCTGCTAGTCGTCTGAAGACGTTGGATGCTGTCTACTAGGGCTGTAAGATGCAGGATGTAAACCCTCATGCACCTCTACACTCTGTATTTTCTGATCAAATGCTTAGTTCGATCAACATTAACATTCATTTTCATTGTTTGATAAGAACTAGCACAAAGGTCTTTTCATAAGTTACCCCATCATGCTGGACCATAAGACCTTGAACATCTCAGCCGATTATTTCAGACAGCCTTGAAAGAGACGTGGAAAATCAATGGACATTTTTCACTGTTTTTGTTACTTTGTTGTAATATAATGTCATTGTTTTTATGAATATGTCTTTAGAAAATTTAACCATAGGTCTCAATGAGGCCAACCTATATAAACAAATGTAAAATTCAGTTCAATTCAATTAGGCTAATTTCCGGACTATAGAGCGCACTTCAATGTAAGCCGCACCGGGCTAAAAGCCGCAGATATCTACTGAATTGGAAAATACGGTAAAAGCTCAACTTTCAGCCTACAACCATTTCAATGTTCATCTATTGGTCCTGGATGTGTTAACTGACTTAAAATTAGTTAAAGGTGTGGTTAACTTCTATCCTTCTGCCACTTCCTCAATGGAAAAGGATTTCTCCTTCACGCAGACCATGAATCCCTTACCAGACTAATGAACTTCAAAGAACCAGAGGGTCAGCTCGCTTGGTAGTTAGAAACATTGCACTAGGATAACTCCATTTCATGCTTAATGTTTTGACTACTGCTTCGAAGTTTGTTACGAACGGTCCCGCCTCTCTTCTTTTTCTGCTTACTCTTCTTCTTATTCTTATTTGTGGTCTTATGGCACTTGGCAAACAACAATTTGGTGAATTACTGCCACCAATTGGATTGGAGTGGAATGACTACCAATCACTTCCTGTTTGTGCATCGGCATCTTAAAGGAATAGTCCATTGTGGCATTAACAGAGGGGTGCCAGCAGTCAGGGCTAGGGGGGCTCTCAGCATAAGGAGGCCCCAGGTGGCCGCCGACCTATGCCTAATGGTAAAACCGCCACTGAACCTAACTTGGTTGACTAGTTGAAATTATCCGAACACTGTGGTTATCCTTTTTTAAACTCACTTACATTAACACAGAGACTTTTGCAAAGTTCATTGTGGGAGATCTGAGCATGGTGATGTTTAGACAATGCTGACTTTCTTACATCAGCAATTTACTTTGACTTGATAGCAGTTCATTCATGGGAGGATGGGGTTAAGTTCTGGTCCGCAATGCTGTCATTTTCTTTTACGGACAGTTACAGTAAGTAGTTATTAATGTTAGGCTTCATAATTAATGAGGTTTAATTGTTGTGAGTTGAGAGATACACCAACAAGCACCATAGAAACTTCCTTATATTTTTACCTTTATTTAACTGAGAAGTGTTCGATTTTTATGTTCAAAGCAAGTGATTTTTACATTATTCCCATTTTTTCAGTGACTCATCCTCCAATGCATTTATATAACTCTATATTTACCAAATGATATGCAGGTGCAGATTGTTTTGATCAATCATTCACACAATTATGTTGAATGATTTTTAGTGCAGCTTGTGAAAGAAAGTCAATTTAATTAAAGTAAGAAAAAATGTGATGTGATGGAGTGGAAGTAGTTTTACTCAGTAAATGGTGAAGTTTCTTTGAGTTATAATTCAGAAAGAGCAAAAAAAACCCAGACCTTTTAAAACTGATTTTACATGAATCGTTTTTGTTTTCTTCACCTGTTTAATCACGTCTTCTGATTTTATTTACCTTTGTTGTGTGATATGTTGCTGTTTTGTCTTTATGATCATTTTACGATTTTATGACATTTTTATTTACTTTGTTGACCTTCGTGAATCACTTTATGATTTATCTTTCTATACGTGCTACAAAACAAACTTTGCTTATTTATTAACAGAACAGAATTATGATGGCAATCAGATGTCTTCACCAGCTACAGAACAAAGAAAACCCTCGATCACTGAGATGCTAAGAGAACTGTTTAGACGTGTAGAAGTAGTCCCTGCCTCTCCAGTGAAGATAAACATTAGTTACCAAAATCTTCAAAGCATTTTATCTTATTTGAAGAGTAGAAAAATAACGGCTGGATCCTGATCCTCTACATGCCTGTTTGATGCTGTAATAAACAGAGTAGAAAACAGAAGAACAACTTAAATTCAGTAACAGCTGCCTGATGTTTTCTTGTTAATGCTTTAGCTTGATGTGAACACGATACACTTTAAATGCTGTTGCTGTGTCAAACGGGGTAACTTCATGTTAGTTTTCCACTTCCAGGATTAACAACGAGTCACTCATCTGTGGAGATGCAGGCGCACTAACGGCACAGTAAAAACCAAAGCCTTCCTAAACCACTCAGATATTATAGGTGCAGGATGACATCATTTAGGTAATTTAGACAAATTAATCATATTAATTACACAGTTTAGAGGCAACAGCCTTAGTTTAAAAAACCTTTTTATCAGTTTTATGACTTTTTCTCTTTTAACTATTATCAAAGAAAACCAGATTTTAAAAATGTCAACCCCGACATGCATTTACCTGCACATGCACGTGTCTCTGCAGTCCTAAATCAAGATCCCACTTTGCAATTTGCTCTGATGTGGCTTAGAGGAACAATAATCAGTTGATAAATGGCGCCCTCGGGTGTTTGAAAAAGACACAATGCATGAAGAAGTCATTTTCAATATTTGCTTAAATTATTTCCTTATTTAAGAAGTAGATTAAAACAATAATCTGTAAAGTACAGAATGAGGTTTTATTTGGACCATTGGGTTTTAGTGCAATTATTTAATTTCATGATTTCCTGGCTTTAGTGTGCTCATTAACCTAATTTTACTCATCAGACATCTGGGGAAAAAATGAAAGTTGTATCAGAAAAATTGAGAGGGTTATTGGATGTCAGAGCGGAGTTGACAAAACTGGGGAAATTCTAATAACACGATTCCTCTAAACATGCCTGTCCCTTCTGTGGCGGACTCTTTCCATCCCGTCATGCTGTCTGTCACTCAAGCAATCATTTTTACTGCCGATAAGCTGTCTTACATTTTCCAGAAGGCATGTAAGTGACAAAGTGACTGTGAAACGTCAACGGGAGGATGAGAAGCATCGACAGATTGCACACAGGAACTGAGTGTGTTCGTTTGATAGTAGAAACCCTCTTGAAAAGCAAGTAAGTACGGAGGAAATCACTAAACCACAGTGGGTAAATGATGAGTCTGAAAACTCCGTTTTGACATCATCCCAGAAGCATTTTAAATGTTTTGGGTGCAGCACCTTTTTAAGGTGTGAGATCAAATTTAAAAACGAAAAAGAAAGCTTCTGTGCTTTGGTTTTCTACCAGCCCATGCATTTAAATAGTTAGGAACAAAAGCAAATATATAAACTGTGCTGGTTTCAGAATTACTTGCCAGCTTTTTTTTAATCATTCTTTACGACGAATAAGAGCATACTTATTCATAATGAAACCCCGACTAACTGAATTGTACCATATTTATGTTTTTTTCATCATTTTGTGCATGGTGCACAAACCCATCATTTGTGTGTATAAACTTGCCAGTTTTTCTACCACAAAAAAACATAAAAGATGCAAAAGTTTGATTGCAATCCAGTTTTGTTACGAGTGTGGCTGGCAGATATTCCCCGCTGCTCAACAGCTTCTGTTATTTCCCACTTTTTGACACAGTCTGTATGGCTTTGATCCACTCCTTTCTTTCTTCAGCTGTTGCAGCTTGGAGGAAGTAGTGAGTCTCATCTGCTGTGATGATCTCAAAGAGGTTGCCATCAATGTCATACTTTTTGGCTGAAACCGGGAAAATGAAAAAAAAAAGGAGTTAAAAGGCTCCCTGGAAGAGAAACTATACCGACAGCACACATAAGATCTGTTTTTTGGGTCACAGTGGGGGATCGTCATGTGGATCTTATTACAACAACTTCACCCACCATCAGGAACGTACTCCACAGCTGTAACCACAGCTCCACGGAGATGAATGGAGCCCAGAGGATCATCGGCCTAAGAAAGATGTTTATTTTAATTTTTAGTCATATTCATTGATTGCATGATAATCCAAATCCTAGCATTTACCTTAGAGGGATCAGAATAGTGGATATAAGCAGGGTCGTCTCTCAGAATGAACTTCCGTACTTTCCAGTTTTTTCGTCTGTGCCCCTGTTTTGCAGCACATTTGAAAAATATCGGGTGTATTTCATCAAACATGTTTAAACTACATCATAATCTCAGTTCTGTGAGAATCACATTCAAAAGTCAACTTCTTGTTTTAGGACGGTGTTTGCATGTGAGCAGAGCATTTTGGTTCACCTGTTTGAGCAAACAGCCTTGTTTTATGATGTTTCCTCTGAATTCTTCCTTCAGGAGAACATCTTCGTCGCTAGAGTAGCCTTCACAGAAAAAGCCGCTGTCTGCCTGAGGAGATAAATGCAAAAACCGACGTCAGCCTGAGTGGATGAACATTCACATCATCTAGTGTGCCTCTGATTTGGGATCAAGTTTAATTACATATTTGTTTGCTGAGCTGAACTCACAAAGTAGTAAAGAGCTTTTGTTTGATCTAAGAAGGTTGTTTGCTCTCCAGCCTCTGCTCCATCCTTGGACAGGTCCCCCGCAGGTTGAAGAAAGCCCTCGTTCAGAAGCCCTGTTGCTAACATCAGGGCCTCGGGCCTGTTTCTTGCCTGCCCATTCGAAACCAGCCACTCCACCACTGTTGCACCTGCGCAGAAAATACAAGTGGTGAAAAGTGTTGAGAAGATGTGAAAGTTAAAAAAGAAAAATGCCTTCACACTTGCGGTTGCTTATCTATGAGAGCAAAGCAGTTTTTACCTGTGAAGCAGTGGTTGAAAACGCGATTATCTTGCTCCAGTTTCAGCTCCTTCACTCCATTTTTCTGATCTTTCATCTCTGTGTAGAGATTGCTGACAAAACACAGGGCAAGCAAATTCAACCTCCTCGTGTATTTCTGTTGTTTTCATCATTAGCCTTGTGAACGTGACAATTAAAGGTGTAATATGGAACACGAGCACCAAAGCGACCTCTAGTGTGTGGAGGTTGCAGTTGCAACAATAGAACAAGGTTCGCTGTCGTCAGGGTAACGAGGTTCGCTACCGATATGTGAAATGTTTTATTTGGGTCCATTTGTTGTAGACCACCTAAAGTTACTCTGGTTTTAGATGTTTTCTGGTCGCTCCTCTTCTGAGAAGGATAACAACATCTTCTGGGCTCAGAAGCGGCTTCTTGACTTTCTGAGTCGGCCATTTTCCACAGGGCCAGCCTCGCTGCGCCGAGCGGACTGTTTGGCAACCAGCAATGGTGCCCTCTACTGGCTGGTACATGTAAACATAAACCCAGTGCCGTGCCCATTAAAATGAATATTTGATTTCTTTTTAATTAAAATAATACCGCACCATAGCTTTTTGTTAAACGGTTCCATGATCAACCTTTAACACGTCACACAGATATTCAGAATAAGAAAAAAATCTGTTGTTGTCAAACAGTCTGGAGGGTGTTAATGGTCAACTCTTGGAATAAAACAAGTAATTTTTTCATAAATTTCAAACAGTAAAAAAGATTCCATTGGACATACGCGAGGTTGACCGTGTCAGGCAGGCGAATGGAGCGCCGCGTGGACTTCCTGGCAAACCTCTTCCCACCCTGCAGGCAGGTAATGGCCTTCTTGATGTCTTTCACCCAGCACTCTCTCTCCTCCACGTATGAGGCTTGGAAAAAATGATCTTGTTTCTTCTCTGTGGTGATCTTGAAGACCAGCTAAAATCAAACATCATCAGTCAGTTCAACTCTCACTTTTCATCCCAACATTTAAAGCAGCTGCTAAGTTAAGTCATCTGTTGTTGCGACCACTTTCACAACTCTGGTCCCTGGGTGCATGCGCTCAATTATTCCTGAAAGATGAACTTGACATTTTCTCACCATTCTCTTACTGAAATCCTGGCAGGGGCTGAGGAGTGTGGCTCCCTTCAGCGGGATCATTCCCTTCGGCGACTGGTTGGTTTTCTTTTTATAGAATTCCAAACCATCTTCTGACAACACCACCCACACTGCCCTCCAGGAGTTTAACACCGTACCCTGAGGATCAATAAGACAACATGCAGCCTTGAGCAAAAAGAGGCAAATAGCTGGCTGCGGGTGCACAGGTCCCATGCATTTTGAATTAACTGAGCTTGACTTGCTCAACAAGTGTGTTTCCTCACACTTTTATTCTCAGCTTCTCCATTCTTCCCATAATAAATGACTAAAAATGAAAATGCAACACTATGCAATTTGAACTTCTTTTTCCTGTTAGAGCTTTCACTTCTTTATTCACAATTTGACATAATGCCATGGGGTTTTTTTTTACAAGAAAATGAAAGTTTTCATATTGAGAAAATGAAGTTTTTATTTAGTTCTGCAAGAACGTAGAAATGAATCTTCTGGTCATTTGTACAAAGAGAAGAAGCCGCTTACTAGAGAAATTCCTTCTTTGCAGAAGTTGGCTTAAATATTACACATATTAGCAGATTGGCTCAGACGTGCCTCTGGCCCGTTTATATTTAGGGGGAAAAAAAGCAACCATCAACATTTCATTTAAAACTTTATCGAGTTAAGAAAAAGTGACATTTGGGATAGGATGACTCGTCTTTTCATTGAAGAATGTGGTAATTATCAGATCAGGTGGTGTTGTCTCCCTCCCACACGGGTGGGTCTGGGACTGATGTTCATTTATTAAATATCAAGTTGATTCAAGAATGACTTTCAGAATTATGTCAAGAAAATAAAACATCAAAAAGCAAAAAAATATTTATTTATTAGATTTCCCAATCAAGTAACACTTTACAATAAGGGTCCCTTTATTAACGTAACTTAGTACGTTAATAAACTATTAAATAAAGTATTAACCAGTGCTTAATAATAATGTGAATATTGAGTAATGCATTACTAAACAGACACCCCACCCCCTTGGCCCTTTGTCCTAACCTTAAGGAAACTTAACAGTTAACAATATTGGGAATATTAGTAAAGGGACCCTTTGTTTATTAATGCTTAATAATGCACTAAGGTAATGTTAATAAAGGAACCCTTTTTGTAAAGTGTTTCCTAATTGTGTCATGACAGGGTGCACTACCCTTAAACATAGTTTCACGCAGCTCATCACAGAATTAGATATGTTTAAAAATCATCAGAAATAGTTGTTTTATTTACTGCTTGGCTTCTTCACAGTGGAATTATAAAACACTGACTTTAGTTCAAAGAAAGGTTTGAAACACCACTTCTTTTTTTTCACTGAGTAAGTAGCATGAGACCATCTTTTAGTGCAGGGGTGCTCAATCCTGGTCCTCGAGGGCAGGAATCCAGCATGTTTTAGTTTTAACCCCGCTCCAACGCACCCAACAGGCTTCTGCAGAGCCCAATTAGCTGCTGCACAGGTGTTTCAACCACTGAGTTAGGTGTGGTGGTGCAGAGAAACCACTAAAATGTGCTAAATGCCGGCTCTCCAGGACCAGGAATGTGCTCTTTCAACACTAGTGTAGGTTACACAGAAAAGTTCAAAATGTGCAATTTACATGACAGTGACCATGAAAAGCCAAATCCGTCATCCTTACAAGACCACTTCTCTCCCGCAGGAGTTCAGACATTACATGACACTTAAAAATAGTTACTTGCTGATTTGTGTCTTGAAAAAAAAATGTAATGTTTTCTCCTTTGTTCATCACTGTCTCTTATCAATTTATTTTTGGGGTGAACACAGACACAAACATATGTCATGTTATCAGTCATCACCAGCTGGTTACCTATAAATGTTCATAGATCTGCAATGTTTCTTTTTTGCAATCATTTTCTGTTAAATTTAGAAAACCAGTTTCAGCAAAACTATGCAGGACCGGTGATGTTTCACTTCTTCCAGGTGCTAGAAGACTTTTTAACAATTCAGTTCTCATTCAACACGGGGGAAAAGTGAGCAGTTTTGTTTAAGTTTATACTAAATGTGCTCAAATAGAACTACAGTGATTAAAAATGAGGTGGGAAAGCAAACTGAACATGTAGACTAAATGAAAGAGGAACCCGCTTAAACAAAAGCTGCTGCTGCTGAATTTTCAGCTATGTGGGAAACATCAGCCTCTGTGAGTGAGGCGCTGATGTGAAAACGTTTTTGGTAAAAAGTTTAACCTAGAAAAATACTAAAAGTTTCATGAAATAAACATCTAATTTGTGCACAGAACATGTATATTTTTTCATAATGAGAGGATTATCTGAGTGTATTTACTTATTGCAGTTTAGGATTTGTTATAATCTATTGGGTGTCCTCCTGCAGAATAAACTTTACAATAAAAATGCAAGAGTTCATGTGTTGCTCAGCTCTAAAACAGAACTTGTTTTTTTTTTAACTGAACAACAGAAGTGTGTTTTCACACGTCATGTTGCAAATGTGTGGCATCTGTTCCTCAATCCAAAAGTTGGCTCGATGTTTAACATTATCACCCTTTACTATTTAAGTGGATCCACAGCATTTTTTATCTTTTGATTTGATGTTTCTCATTCATCAGCTTACTTTTCAGCATTTTTCTAAAACACACCAAAATGTGTACATTAGAACATTTATTAGTACGTTGTCTACATGGGAAGTTTTTGATGTTAAAATTTGTTTCATGTTTTTACAAAACCCAGTTTTTCTGTGGTAGAATTGGCTAGAATATTAGTAACGTGTAGTATTAGGAAGTAGATAGTATTTCTACAGATATTCTTACCTTCTTAACTAGGTAACCCTCTCTGATCTCCTCTGGCTCCATTACTGGGTTTCTCTGCTGCCGTCGATTGGAACTTGTCACTTTTATAACAACTGTCACATCCATTTCACAAACTCTCTCTCTCTCTCTCTCTCTCTCTCTCTCTCTCTCTCTCTCTCTCTCTCTCTCTCTCTCTCTCTCTCTCTCTCTCTCTCTCTCTCTCTCTCTCTCTCTCTCTCTCTCTCTCTCTCTCTCTCTCTCTCTCTCTCTCTCTCTCTCTCTCTCTCCTCTCTCTCTCTCTCTCTCTCTCTCTCTCTCTCTCTCTCTCTCTCTCTCTCTCTCTCTCTCTCTCTCTCTCTCTCTCTCTCTCTCTCTCTCTCTCTCTGTGCATTTGCATGTGTGTCAGCGTGAAAACCACAGGCTTGCAGAGACGCAGAAACAGGAAGTTGCAAATGGGTGCGAGGACCGGTCAGCTTGTTTCCTGTTGTCTAATGTATTATTAGGCAGCGAAAGCATGCTCTGCTGTTCAATATACAGAAATGGTTCCATCAGCATTTCTAAAATACTGTGGAGAGACATTTTGCGAAAGACTGGAAAAAAAAGGTCAGCCAGCAGTAAGTGTGGTCTAGCTGTGAGTTAATTTACTTTCAAATCGGGTAAATTTGCCGTCACTTCTAAAGATTTCATCATGAAACAGATTAAACATTTAGACTTTTTTCCTAAAATAGATTTATTTTAATCCATATTTGTATTTATTTCTATTTTAACACCATTTTCTTTGACATCATGCAATATGGTTATTTTCTCAGCTGTTTGGGTTATCGTTCTAGATTCTCTGTCATCACCAGTTAAACTTTTTTGGTCTAACAGTATATTTTTAAAATCCATATTTAGCTTGAGTATGACTAAATTCAGCCATGAGTGTGTGACACACGGGTGGGACAACAGCTGACTTGAGTCAGACACTATTTATGGAAATAGAATTTCCTCTTTCTTTACCACTTCTCAATATTCAATAGTGATGAGAATATTAAACAGAGAGCAGGTTTTAAAAAGGCTTTAATGTATTATTTTCTAGATCTTAACAGATTCAGTATCAGATGAATAAATAGGGCCATGATTAGGTGGTAAATGATGCCAGAATGACTGTAAAGGAACAGCTGCAGCCTGAAAGTTCACAAAGTGTACCATTGTAATAACATCCATGAGAATGTCTCACTATCCGCTATCACAATGACTCACCTGTACGTAGGATCCGAGTGGCTCTCTGACAAGGAGATGAAATGGTTCTGGCATCAATTTATTGTGAAATATTGTAGTATTTATTTTAACACTATTCATATGTTTTGTTTTTCTCCTTCAAATAGAATATTTAGTTGAAAAATGTAAAATGTATTTTAAAAACTAAATATTTAGTTGGGAACTTTAACATATTTAAATGTAGGAATACCGGTGAAAATATGATTTAGAAAAATCAATTCCCATTTTTTCTCTTATAGGCTAAATGACCCAAAATGAAGTTATGACTGTTTGACTTTAATGGCACCCCATACCACTGCAGTATTTTATACCGGATTTCCCAGAAAACAGCATTTATTTTGTAACCCAATAATTAGGAATGATCCTCACCACAGTGTTTCAGATTTGCTGTTACTGCTCCTCTAGAGGGCATCATGAGTACATTTAAAACCAGATCTGCTGTATGCAGCCTTGATTCATTTTAAAAAGAGCAAAAATATTTAGAACACATGTAACCCTTTGCACTAATTTTCTATTCTAAGCCTAAACAATGCCAGGAATGAACACAATCTATCATTTAAAAACAACCATCAAAAATGCACTTTGTCATTTTTAAATATGAGGGCAACCCTAACCCTAAAAATAAGGGCAGAGTTCATGGCTAAGACACTCTTAGGCAAGGATAGCAAAGCATTTTGGAAACAGATAAAAATGGTTAATAACTGTAAACCCTCACTCCCCTATATGATAGATGGTGTCTCTGGGTCAGATATGATTGCAGAGCTCTGGCTACAGCACTACAGTAAACTGTATACTTGTGTGCTAAGTGAACCTTTCCAGGTTGATAATGTTGATGATGTGAATATTAATTGACACTCAGGAGGTTCATCAAGCAATTAAAAATGTGTTTGTAGGTAAGACTACAGGATTGGATCTGATTTCTACTGAACATCTTAAATATGCAAGTGTAAGGTTAACCCCCTTCTTGCCTTATGCTTCACTGCCTTTATGTTTCATGGTTTTATTCAAGACTCCACAATGAACGTTCTTTTGGTTCCTGTGATGAAGAACAAATCAGGGAAAGTAGGCAGCTCAGATAAGGCCCATTGCTCTTGCAAGCATTCTCTGTAAAGTTTTTGAACAAATACTACTGACAAGATTGGACAAATTGATAC